CCTTTTGCCCACTTGAAAGGGTTCCATTGTTATCAGATATGACTCAGAAGAATGAAAGGCTTCAGAAAATAATAATAATAGCAGAAAGGAATGCTCTTTGCCTCAGCTATGTTGCAGAATTCACATGGCAGCCATGCGCAAGAGTGGTCTTCTTGCTGCAGGATTTATATATAGTATTCTTAAAGTTTGATTAGACAAAAAAACCACTAAGAATAGAAATGCATTAATCAGTAAAAACAAGGCATAAACATATTTAGAAATAGTTGTTGAATTCACTGAGCAAATAATAAGTAATTTGTAGGTACCATTGGCATTTACGAGAAGAACGATGGAATCAGGTTATCACCTAATCAATATTTGTTCCGAAGGAGCTTTAAATTTTTAAATTTAATGTCATGGATCATAAAACATTGATGAATGCATGGTAATATTATTAAGATCTATCATAGATTGGAAGTGAAAATAATTTCAATTTGATTTGAGCTTTTTAGGTTAATAGGTGTTATTATGAGCAAAACAAAAATAATGGTAAAATTTTTAGGCATCAAGTACTTTAAATTAAGGCTTCGTTTGGGACAATTTTAGACCACTGTTGTTTTTTATCTGCTTCCAAAAAAATTTTATACTAAACAACTGATTTACAAAGTAGTAAGAAAGCCGTCCCAAATGAAGCCTAACTCAACTACATCAATTCACCAACTAGAATAAAGCAGTGCCACAAAACTAAGATGGAGAAGAGGGAGAAGGGAACATTGGAGCGAATAAATCCTAATATTGTCTAATTAATTTTTGCTAAATTAAAATTTGATTTTTACAAATCCTTTATTGGTGGATTAAATTTATTATACAATAAAACTGCCAACATAATACAAATAAAAAAACACTCAGATTTATGTGAACAATCTTAGATGGACAAAATACTTGGACAACTAAAAAGAATTTGCTATGTTGAAAAATTAATACAAGTTAAAACCCAGGCAACTCTTTGTATAACCTTTTTGTGATTACACCTCCATTGCTCGAAACATTATATAAGATATAAGCTAATGCTAGGTTCATGCTCTTTTTTAAGGTACTAAAAAAGCTATTAACTTTAAATTTTATTTTTATATTATCTACTGTTTTCTTTGACGAACTACTCTATAATAGGATTATATGTAGGTATCGTAGATGAAACTTATATCAAAGCTAGAATTTCTAAGGAGAATGAATCAACATTTAGAGGAAGAAAATCATAACAAAGCCAAAATGTACTGGCTGCAATGAACTTTGACTTGAGATCTATATATGTACTAACCGATTGGTAAGATTTAGCTCATGATTTCATTGTCCTTTGAAATGCATTAGAGTGGTCTGATGATCTGTATATTTTAGAAGGTATGTATAATAGTTACACAAAGTCTCCTAACTACTTAGTAAACTCCATACAAAATAAGAAAAGAAAATAGATAGGTGAATATTATTTAGTTGATGGTGGTTGCTCTACCTAGAAAGATTTCATGTCTCCATATCGTGCTACATGATACCACTTGAAGAAGTTTAGTGGTATCCAACCTAGAAATTATAAAGATCTATTTAATCTTTGATATTCATCAACTTCAAAGAATTGTGGAACGTGCATTTGGGTCATTAAAGAACCGATTTACAATTTTAAAATGTGACTCATACTTTCCATTGGAGACTCAATTTAATATTACACTTGTCTGCTGTATTTTGCATAACTGGATAAATACAAAGGATGGTGTTGACTTAATTTTGTCAAAAGATGAGTGGAGATTAAGAAGCTGTGTTAGGGAAAGATATGAAGCTATGCCAAATGGTTCTAGAGAATGGTTGGAGTGAAGAGATCAAATTGCTTTGTTATGTGAAGTCGCATAAAGAATGTTGGCTTTTAAACACATGGAAGACATGTATTTATGGTTGTATGTCACTTTTTTTGTATATGTGCTTTTATAAATGCACGAAATAAACTTTTTTTTTTTTTTGCTTTTACATGCTTCTAACACTTTTGTAAATGCATTATCGGCGGCCGACTTTTCCGACGGCATTCCGTCGGCTTTCCGACGGCTATAATTTCAGATAAAATTCCGATGGTTTTCCGGCGACTTACCGGCGGTTTTACGACGGTTTTGTTTCTGGCGGCTCTTCCATCGATTTACCGGCGGTTTTTCTGGCGAATCACGGCGGGAGAACGACTGGGCAATGGGCTTTTTTTTTTAATTAAATTTTAGATATTTTCCGGCGGTGTTTGGCCGTCGGAAAACTGCCGGACAATTAGGCCGCCGGTAATAACCGCCGATGATCTTTTTCCTACACCATTTTTTCCGGCGGTTCATGAACCGCCAGAAAGCCGCCGGTGTTACTGAAAACCGCCGGTATTTACTGTTTTTCCTATTGTGCTCCAAGTATTCAGAATATACTGATTTTACTTTACTCTGCATACACCAAGGTTGTGAAAATTGGACCGAACAATTAACCAGAAGAAGAAGAGGTTTGCGGTTCAACTAATCGAAATGGGATCTAACCAGATGACATAATAAATAATAATATTATTAAAAATTAATAAAATGAGCTTCACCTCCTCAGCCATCTAACATCATATCACTCTTATGGATTTCACTGAAATTTATTACATTCAATCACATTTTCATATCAAACTAATCAAGCTGCCTAAACGTGACATCAATTAAGTCTAAAACATAAACATATAATAAATAATACAAATGTGGCATTAAGTCTATAAAATATAAATAAAATATTTCATAAGTAACTTAAAGCAAGATTTGTAACTAACCTAATAAATAAAGAGTAATTGTAATTCGAACAACATCAACAAACGACACACCATGCTACTCCAGGTTTTCGCACGAGGTGGTCCAGCCATCCCGCGGCTCTCGGTTACCGCACATAGTGACCAAACAACATTGCATTATGGGAGGAATGCATACTTTTTGTCGTCTTTTTGTCGATCTCTATTGTGCGTTGGGCGTTGATGAGTGCATACCATATTCAGTTGTCTTTCTCTAGCATGTAAAACTGTTAAACAATGAAATGAACAAAAATGCATTGCTTCTACCTTGCTCAAAATTTAATGATGTATCACATATAGCAAGGTAATTATTATTCATGAATTTTTTTCACAATTATTTATGATCAAGATATTAAATTCATATTTTTTTAACACTTTGCTAGCTAATAGATACCACCTTTAAATTTTTATTTGCATTTTACCATCAAAATAATGGGCAAATTGGATATTATGAAACATCCTAAGAAATTTAATGAGTAAAAGCTTATAAATTTAGAAATGTAGGACTTGCATATTTCTACAATAAAGTTTTTAAGCAATATATTATAGACTTTGCAATTTTGCATAACCCAAGTTTTGCATTGGTGGAAAAATAAGATAACTATTGAAAATGTAATATTGCATAATCAAAACAAAACCTAGAACCAAATACTTACACATGATGTGGATTTGAAGAAATTTGTATAAAGGACTCAAGGAGAGTGATGCTGTGCCGGAGAGGAATAATACCTTCAGTTTGTAGCCCCTCGTCAACCTCATGAACAAAGAGGCAACCGCGAACGGGATAGCATGTGAACGAAGAGTGAGCCGGATGAGTAGACGAAGGGCGGGATAGGAAGACATGGAATATGAATATTAGGTTTTTTTACTTTCTTAATTTCTCCTCAAATACCACATGATTTATTTCTAACGGCTAAAAATCGATCTAACTGAACCGAATAGTTTTTTTAAAAACAGAGCCGGATCACCAGTTTCCCGATCCGACTAGTTTTAGCCCGATTTTCTGTTGTCTCGGATATCTATTGAACCCGTACCGACTGACCGGCCGGTTCACGATTGGATTGGTTGAATCAGCCAATCCAGTTTGATTTTGAAAACCTTGACATACACTTAACCAAATAGAAAAAAATAATTCCCCTTTATAGACAACCAAACAACTTTAAAATATTTTACTTTACACTGCATTCACTTTACAACCAACTAAATAATCTCCTAAAAGAAAATGAATTTTATTTAAGTCATTGCCATAAGTAATTATTAATTACAAAATATTATTATATCTTAGTAGGCAACATATTTAACAATTCATACTTTACATTGTAGCATATTATCAGAATATTGTTAAAAAGATTAATAATGTCATATAATCATTGATATTTATGATAAGTGAAACTCATGTGGAAATCTATTTAACTAATCCCTTTTTTATAGTTGTTATGCTTCCTTCAGCTTTATGATATAAAAACACTACTTATCATGTTGTTCAATTAATATACACTATACCATCCTAAATGAGTTCATCTTAGGCTTCGTTTGGGACGGCTTTTTTATTGCTTTATAAAACTGAGTTTTAGTATAATTTTTTTTTTGTACCAAAAATCCGTTTTAGAAAGCAATAAAAAAGCCATCCCAAACGAAGCCTTAGTCCTTGATAACACAATCTAGTCATTAAAGTTGTCAAATTTATTACAATTGTAACTTAAAATGTGAGGGCCTTTAGTGATTTCTATCGCAATCATGGATGCAAAATAGAGAGGTTTTTGCATGGGATTTTCCTCATTGACATTGAGGAAACTATGACCTATGGGCTTTAGAGGTATAGCTATTAAAAGAATATTTTTGATGCCTTATAAGATTTATGTGTTATAAAAGTAAATTGTATTTTTGAGGTGATAGATACTTTAAAAAATTAAGTGTTGAGTTATATGTATATTAATATCAAAAATAACAATAATAATTCTTTATCCCACTATAAAAACGATAAATATATATGACACATAAAATTATAAAGCTTATGGATTACGTCATTTTGTCACCATTTTAGATATTATTATGATTATGATTTTGAAGCTTTATGCATGAAAATAATCAAAAGTTAGAATATACTGAGATTTTTTGAAAGCGAAATATTACACTCATTTTAAGCAAATTAATAGTTATAAATATAAAAATTTAATAAGAGGGAAATCCATGAGGCTTGCCTCCTAAGCTCATCCGCCGATCTCTCCCTCCGTCCTGTTCGAATTCGAACATACGGCTCCTTTCTAACTTTCTTTTTAAGCAAGCTCCGGATTGCCTGCAAACCCTAGCTATTTCCTCTTTCCCTTACGACGATGTCCTTCTCCCAGTTCCCCATCGACGACAGAGACCTTGACGACGCCGAGCTCTGGGACGTCATTGATTCAGCTGCGGCCTCTAGATCCCGCCGGATGCCGCTTGCCATTAAGAACTCCTCTCCAGCATCGAATCCCTCACCCATGCCGCCAAAGCTCTTTCAAAGCGCTAAGAACTACCTCGCCGCAAATGCGGAGGAATATAGGGTTTCCACCCACGGAGAGGTAGTGCAGGAAGAGCGATGGGCGCTTGCAAGGCCGCAGAAGATGGCGAGGTTCGTGGAACCCGTGGCTTGTGGAGATCACAATCGGATGGTGGTCGTCCGGCACCCGTCTCGAACTCCGTTGACCTCATCGCCATCGTACCCTCCTCCATCTACTGGGAAGTTCTCAGTGAAGGAGGTGAGACCGATCATTGAGAGCCCAAAGATGAATTGTCAGCGGGAAGATGAGAAGGATAACTTTACACATTCCTTGTCTGGAAGCTTCCCTTCAGTGTCGATGTTCAAGCAGTATCAGAATGCAGCCATGGAGGTAATTCAGTGATCCTTTGATTATATGAAATATAGTTGTGTGCGCCCGCCCTCTAAAGGTAAACATATAGGTCGTGTAGGGTTGAAGAAATTGAAGAGAATGCAAATGCGTTGCTCTTCAGAGTTTCACATTTAATGTTTGGCTCTAATGCGATTAATTTTTGACTGAAGTTAATTAGAGAATGAGGACAAGTTTGTTTTTTTAATTGACAATTTTCTAACCTACTAGTGAAAAGTAAAAAAAATTGTAGTCATCTTTGCGACTCACATGTTCACATAACACACACAACTCAATTTCTCGTTAACCTAAAAAGTTTAAAATATTTTTCACTTAGTTTGTCCTCAACCAAATAAATAGCTGAAAATTAATTTTAATTCGATTCCACTAGCATTTACATTTCCATTTCCTTTCCATTGCCTCTCTTTCAATTCCTTGAAACTAGGTAGAGCCATACTAAATTTTGATGCTTTCTTATAGCAAGTACATTAGTTTGAGTTTTTTCTTGCTGATTCATTTCATCAGTTTACTAGATGTCTCATAGTGATGTGGTGAAGTTCTTGTTTTGAGTTGATTAATGTGAGAGTGATAGGAAGATTGTAAGTTTTTGTCAATGATTATTCAAATCTCTGAACATGTGCCAAGGTTGATAATGCAGGGGAGTTGATAGATAGAAATGAGTGGGTAGAGAGTGAGGTTTTGGTCTATTAGCAATTTAGGTTAAATTGTGGGTTGGGACTGATTGTTCCGACAAGGTTATTAATTGTTTTGTTGGATATGTAGTTGCTATTAAGAAGATTTTCAAAATCATCGGCCATGAAGTTTTTAAGAACGTGTGATCTACATGATGGGTGGTTGTTGGTTGTGATGTGAGTATTGATGATGTTCTTGATGTTGGTCGTCAGAATTTTGTGCTGAGGTGGGATGGGAACGTCGGCCCTTGCTGATGTTAAGTTGTTGTTTGCAGGAGGATTGTTTGTGGAAGTAGAGGCCGAGAGGTCCATTATGAGAAGGCGGTTCAGTAGCATGTAATGGCTATTGTTAAGTAGAAGTTCTGATACTATTAGAACTATAATGACACAACATTGGAGAGCAGTGATGATTAGAGAAGGAGAAGTAGATGGGAAAACAAAAAGTGTGAAATTGCTATCATGTATTTCATGATTATAGTAGTCATCTTTATATAAGTATTCATCCGCGAGTTGATTATGTAGTATGTTGGAGATACTAATCCAGTGGTTCATGCTATGAGTTTAATTGGTGAAATGGTTAGAATAGAAAGTGGAAGAGAGTAACTATTGTACTAAGCCTTAGTGGGAAGTAGGATTGTTATTGAATGGAATTGATTTTATATTATTATAAAAAATAGTTGCTATTAAACATAGTAGCTTATTTGAGTACTAAATTTAATTACGCTAATTGGCTATTAACCAAATGACCATAAACTAAAGACAATTTATTCCATTCTTTTAATATGCAAAATGTTAAAAACTGAAGATAATTCATATAATTTTTATTAAAATAGTTTTAATGAATATAATTGTATTTATGAATAATGCATTTTTTTTCATGTTTCCAGATTTTAGAGAAAACTGATTACACCATGATACGTGGCAACCCATTTATCAAAAAAGCAGGTACAAGTATTTACTCATGTATTTGTTAAGAAAAGTTAACCAATATTTAATCATGATGAAAAATTCACGTTTTTTAATTAGGTTGGCGGAAGATATCATTCTTCTTCAACATTTCATTTGAAATAAGGGACAAAAATATTGAGTATGATGACAACCGAAATGTTATTCGTGCTGAGTTTTTGGTTCGCGCTTTCATGCAGTATGTCCATCATAGAATAATATTTTAGCTTTTCATTAATTTTATTAAATTGACTTTGTAAATTTAAGTTTGTTTTTGAACCACTTTTAGGGGTGGCAGATTTTCAGATGGATGGGGTTCTTGTGATCGAAGGGAGAAACATCTTAATAAGCCCAACCATGATATTCCTAGCACAGCAGAAACAAGGGCTAAAAATAAAGCATGTCAAGTGAGTATCTCAAATAATATGTTATCTCTATTTTAATATTGGCATTACTAAATAATCTACATATACTTTACATCGCTTATAACCTTTTTAGTTGATGTTTCATCATTTGTAGTAATTACCTACCCCTCAACATTCCTACACCTTCATAATCGCGTTGCACAGATACTAACACCCCCTTGCATTGCTTACACCATCAACACCACGTTTAGCACTTACACTAACACCCTTGCAATGTTGAAAAAATTTACTATGGTAGGCATTAAAGCGATTCCTTTTTTTAGACTCTATCAAAACATATATGTGGGATAGTGGGAGAATCCCTCAAGCAATCAACGTAGTTAGGATTGATAAGCCATTGATTTAGGTTCAACTATATAGGTTTTAGTCAGTAACTTGGATTGGGATTTGTTGTGCTCAGAGTATCTAGATGATTGATCGCATTATTATTCTACGTGGCTTCATACCAATTTGGTACCTTTACTGGCATCTCACAGTTGTAGAAGGGTTGAAGATCTGTACCCCAAAAATCTCTCCACATGACTTAGCTAGAGCTCGATTCGACCTAGATAAGGGGGATATGATTGTACGATAAAATGTTGAACAAGTCTGTGATATGGTATTCTAGGGCAATATCTTTTGTTTTCTCTAGCTTTTTTTTACAGTGGAAAATCAATAATATTTAGTTGTGGATTTGAATTTATTTGTTATCCTTTCGTTGGTGGACTCTTATCATTACATATTCCAAAGTTATTATAAGTAAATAAATAAAATAAAAAGCTTGGATTGTTGGTTTTGGGAGTTGTAGTTTTGCTTGCGTGTTGCACTTCAGGATTTGTGCGGGCTTTGTCTCTATGATTTTTGTTTCTTTCGACAATGACATGACATTTTGCAAGTCTTTTATGGGTTATTTGTGTGCCTTTAGTTTGGATGTTGAATATTAGGTGGATAATTGTTCTTATGTGATATCCAATGTGTAATTGTTGCATATGTATAAGATCTTAGGTAGAGATTTAAGTTGTGGTTGAAATTAATTTTGAATTTAATCTAAATTTCAATTAAGTTGATCCTATGCTGACTTTATTGACTAGACTAGGTTATGAGGAGTTTATAAATAATTATTTTGAGGGATGTGATGAGAAATTTTTGACTTGAATGAATTTTTTTTTTCCTACTTTTAATTTTGCATGTTTAAATTGGATGAATGATTCTTTCGAGTATCGTACAAGTGCAACTAATCAATTTTGAGAGAATCAACATTTTGTATCAACATGAGATTTGGTTTTTCTCAATTTTGTATTTTTATTCCTTATTATATTATTTTAGGTATTTTTTTTATTATAGTGATCTTAGTATTGATAAAATATTGACACAATAGTAATTCAAATAGTGGAATTTAATTTATTTTGTTAATTGATTTTTTATGTTTTCAAATTGTTGCTGAAATTCTCGAATTAAAAAAAAAATCATTTCATTATGGTTTATAGTTTTAGTATTGATTGTTTTATGTATAAAGAAAGTAAATGATTGAACACTTTGGTGTCTTGTTATACGTGAATCCTTATTTTCCTTTATATTTATTCATACAACTTTACATAGTGCGATAATAAATCCTAGTTCGAAGTCATCTTGCATCAAACAATAAAGTGGGCCAAATGGATCACTTCCTAAATTGCTCAAGTGCATTCTAAGAAATAGAGGTCATGTGCCCTTGTCATATAGCAAGAACTTTGACCATGGGTGCAAGGAAGTTAATACTCGTTCAAGTCGCAACGAAAGCATAATTCAAATTTGTAATTGATAATTCTTGATTACATGAAAATATATCAGGAGTTAATTTCCTCTACAAAGGGGATTCTCTTTTATAACTTTATAAAGATATTGTATTTTGTATACAAAGGATTCTTGTTTGGTGGATAATAGAAAAACACCATGTAAAACAAGCTCACAACCTAACTCTGAGTCTCTTATAAAAACACCTTTGGTCATGTATCTTCCCTCCTTGAATCATGTTCGTGCAAAGTCCAACATCCACATCCTTTAATGTTCTTGTTGAGGATGGAATAAAGAAAAAAGGATTAAGGGGAATCTTAAAGAACGATAAAGTCTTTTCCTATAGAGGTTACGAGTTGAACCAAATATGACAACACAACACAAGATTAGCTCCAAGGAGTAAAACTTCAGCAAGCTCTAATCATGGAATTGCTTAGGAGCTTTCATTTTCCCAATATGCTTGGGCCACTTTAAACCATTCTTAGTTTTATGAATTTTGAAAACATATCTCGGATAGTCATATTATCGTTGTATTGATCTAACTTCATTAGCTTTCAATTGCATTTCCTTTGAGTTTAGGGTTATAAGTCTTCTTTTATAGAGGTCATCAGTCAAAGTAGGGATAAGTCCACAACGTAAGATTAACTTCAAGGAGTTAAACCCAAGCAAGCTTGTAGGACCAACTTACAAGCCTATCCAAGTAATGCATATGTTTCCAAAAATGGTCGAGCCACATCAAGTTGTTCTTAGTTTTAAGATTTTGTATAGCATATATTGGTTATTTGTATTGCCATCTTGTTGCCATTTGGTTTCACTAGCTTTCAAATGCATTTCCTTATTGTTTTAATTGTATATGTTATATCCCATTAAGTTTTTAATGATAGTGATAAATTTTACTTTTATTTATTAGTGAAATTTTGAAAACCATGGACTTTTGACTGATATTTGAATAAATAAACCTAAGTATCCTAGAATAATCATCAATAAATGTTTTAGTGGACTAACTCAAAAGAATGAACGTTAGGACTAGTGGTAGGAGGAAAAATGGGATATAATGGTGCTTAACCAATTTGTAGGCCTGACACTGAAACTTGAAGAATGATGTGAAGACATAGATGAAGTTTCGTAGTTCTAAGGGAGGAGGATGAACCAACCACAAATTCAGGAGGTCAATGATGCTGGGTTTGATGTATAAGGCTCACTTGATCAGCTGATTGTAATGTTGGGCTGCAATTGCATGTAGACACTAATTGTGATGTAGGACTACAATATATGCAATAATTTTGAAAGAACTTGCACGATTTATTGATTAGAAAAATAGTGATTAGAAATATTAGCAAATAAAACGACAAAATAAAGCGCATGAGCGGTCACTTCCATTTCGGTTAAGTTGCATAATAAGAGCTTTGAATCATCAAAATAACAAAGAAAATCAACGACATGTAAATATAATAGCTTTCAACGAAAATTCCTAATCTAACAATAAGATTAGAAGCAATTAAAGTGCACTCAATCCCTACGTTTATTAAGCTCGGCAGAGTTCGGTGAACAAGATCTTCGTGAATCTATTAAATCACAAGAAGAAGTTAGACAATAAAAATACGAGCAAAGGGAGATGGATAAACCCTTATCATGGTTGAGTTGCAATCCTCCACTGAACAGTGCCAAGTCGTTCTTCAATGGCTTCGGCAAGGGTGAAGGTGGTGCGCTTTAGATATTCTTCGACGGTGCTATCGTTCTCCGAGTTGACGTCAAAGAATGTTGATCGAAGAAGCCTCGGTTGTTGTAGAAAATGCCGGAATCTCGTTTCGAGGTAGCCATCCATGCAAGAAGTCGTTGTTTTGACTTTGAGAAGTGCTGGACAACGGGGATAAATCTTTCCGATGGTGGTACGGTGAGAGGAGCCGGCAGGAATTGATGGACAACAAGCTGTCCTTCTAGGACATCGGTTGGGGAAGTTTCTGGTTGACAGAAAACCAAGAATAGGTGCAGGAATTTGTGGCAGCAGACTTGGAGAGCAGAAAACCCAAAGTCGGACGGGGTTTAGGATGGAGTTATAGTAGAAAAACTTGGCAAAGATGATTGGGGAGTTGGCGGGTAAGAGGGGTTTGGGCTTGGAAATATTTCCAAAGTGAGAAGAGTTGATTTAGTGGAAAGAAAGAGGGTTAATTTTGGGAGGGAAAATAAGTGGGTGGGCCCTTGAGAATTTCAGCCAAGAGAGGGAGGGGGGCCAAGTGTCTATATGCAATGTATTTGAAGTTAAGGCTTTAATTAATCAATCCATCATGATTTGATTAATTGAATTAAATAAGAACCTTTCCCAAAATAAGATAAAGAGGAAAGAAAAGATTTGAAATTTTGAGTTAAGGCTTTAATTAATCAATCCATCGTGATTTGATTCATTGAATTAAATAAGAACCTTTCCTAAAATTGGATTAAGAGAAAAGGAAAGATTTGAAATTCGAAATTGATTTATTTTAAATTCAAATCCATTCCAAAAATAAGTTGACTTAAATAAGGAAAGTGGTAAATGAATTTCAATTAACTTGAAATTCTAATGGAGTTTAATTTAGGAAACATTCCTAAAATAGATTTTATAATTTTAGGAAAGATTTTAAATTTCAAATTGAGTGAATTTGAATTCACAATCTATCCAAAATTATGACAATCTAGAATAGGAAATAAATCTAAGAGAGTGCAAGGGGCTAGGGGCTGGTAGCTTGCTTGGGGTTCATGTAAAGGAGCCGGCGGCTAGGTGGAGGTGACTTGGTGAGTTTTCGGTGGAAGGATGGTGGGGATGAAGGTGGTCGGCGGCTTGGAGTGAGGTGGGTTTAGGTGGACGGTTGGGTAGGAGATGAGGAGAAAGGAAAATAGATAACGAAGAAAACCATGAACCCGGCCATCACCAAAGTTGGTGGGTGATCCAAATTCCCTCTCCTAGGGATCTTGCTCTCTCTCCAAGCACTCTCAAGATCTCTCAAGAACTCAAGCAATCGTACAAATTTTTTTTATCATTCAATCATTAACTTTAGAAGAAGAACATGAGGGCTATAAATAGCCTCATACAAAAAGGACTCAAAGATAAAAGACGACATTGCTCTTAGGGCTTACATATGACTTCCCTTAAGCAATGTGTAAAACGGGAAAAACAATTACAACATAAATAACAAATACATGAAATAACTCAAAACTCATCGACTCGATCGTGACTGTAGATCGACGGCCATGCC